ACAACATTAGAGTTGTCAAACTATCGATGGCACTATCGATAGTTTCAATTTTTTTAGACTATCAATACTCATTGATAGTTTTTTCTTATACTATCAAAAATATCGATAGTTTAGTAGGACTATCGATCATCTCTACCAATTATTTTGAAATTATTTGAATTTTTTTATTTGAATTAAAATCTTTGTTTTTTAGTGTGATGCCGACGTCATATTCAAATATGCGCGCATTTAAGCCAAAATACATACAAATGTTAATCATAAATCCTGTTTTGTTTGTATAACTTGTGTTTGTTTTTGAACTTTCTAAAAAGAGAAGTATTTTGGCTAAGCATTTACTTAATTTTGAATGATTATAACTTTTATAAGATAATATTTATTTCACTATGATCCTGTAAAAACAAAGCAAACTAACTGATTTAGCGCTATCGATAGTGCTATCGATAGTTTTGTTTTTTTCGAGACTATCGTGAATATTAATAGTTTTTCTGAAAACTATCAAAACTATCGATCGTGTGACTATCGATAGTTTTACACAACATATTGTGCGGTAACGAAACTGTTTTCCGTATCGATACTGAAGTGTGTTGCGTGTGTTTGTCAGTGTTGCCAGAACTTTTTGGACGAACCGGCTAAATTGGAAAATAACACCGGCTAAAAACGGCTAAAATGTTTCAACTAAATTTGACATGTTTTATTTAAAAAAATCACGAGTATAAAGACTATTTCTTGGAGATAAGTTACAAATTCGAGCCGGAAAAATTTTGCCAGCAAGAATTTGCAATTAGGAAAAACATATGATTGTGGCACATGGTTGGATTTTTTTCGACGATAATTTGAATAAACAAGTTCGTTAAACTTAAAAATTTACAAATTGGAGCAATTTTAAAATGAAAAAGGAGGTTAATACTTGTTTTCTTAATTAATTTAGTTAATTCCAATGATTTGAAAGGTACTCGGTAAAAAAAAACTGTATTCTTAATCGGAATGCAATCTCAACCAGAGTCGATATAGTAAACCCGACAAACAAATTGAAACATATGTTGAAGGAAGTCGGACTGACAAGATCCTGTTTTTGCCCCTCTGAAAGAATTTTAAAAATTCTATACAAATTTATTTTGCTCGAAATGCAACCGTGGACACTAGTTGGCAGAAAAACTTGCAAATTTGCGTTCGTACAGTTTCTCTACATGAGAGAGAATTTGGGAGCATTTTTTCTTACTACCTATTGTCTTCCCTACAAGGCCTTTTCAGACTGACCGATTCTCAATACACTCAAATAGAAACCAATACACATAAAAAACGCTATAAAAATTTCCCTTAAATTTTAAGGCAGTAAAACAACGACATTAAGTTAACATCAACCGAGGCCATATGTTGACAAGGCATGCAAAATCACAGTTACACAAAAGAACTGGTCATCTTTTTCAGAAATCCCTTCAATTCTGATGTAAAATATGATGCCAAAAGACTGCAGATCTCCCATTGAGATGACCGGTCATATGACCGGTAGATGTCTCGTAGGATCTCCAGAGAGTTTTGCTTTACATAGAAATTTGTGCTCATTTATTTTCATTTTGACTCAATTCAATGTTGGTTCATTTAATTAAATTTTTCCCTTACCTTAAACATTTGGGAGTGGGCAAAAATGATGTTTTGTAATTTAGGCAGAATTGAATATGCGCTATCTGGGAAGACAATATCTACAAGTAATATTTATTCTGTTTATTGGCACTATATCCAAACACAAACACATCCTAAGTGTCTTAACAGTGAAACAATTTCTTATTTTCTAAGTTTGCGAATAGAACTTCACACTTAAAATTTACACATTTATAACAAACATTTTATGAAGAAAATCCCTTCTTCGTTTAAAATAAAAATAAGCGAAAACGGCCCAATTTCATACAACCCTGCCTGACATGAAAATTTTCTCCACGATAAGGCTAGTAGCCATTTCTAACAGATTTTGGGTCGCTTAGTCAAAAATGGAAACATATATACCAAAGGCAAATATCAAAATCGGCTAAAAACGGCTAATTTTTTTCAGTAAAAAGGCTAACAAATCTAGCCGGGAAACGGCTAAAATGGCAACACTGGTGTTTGTACGTACATGCATGCATGATTCGTGTGAGGTAGTTACAAGCAGACATGGAATTTCAAAATTTCAAAATGTGCCTAATGGTCTTCAAAAATTGTGCCGAAAAGAATATGAAAGTGCCACAAAATTTAATTTCTTTTAAAATAATTATTTCTTAATACAAAAATTATTAATTAACTAAATTATTACCGTAAATCACTTTAAATACTATATGAGGGAGTCTTTATAAGCGGCATACACGGTGCGTCTGAATCGCGAGTCGGTTTGGATGTGTTAAGTAAAAATAAATATGTGTTAGTTACACCGACATGACTCTGGTATGACTCGGAATGACTCAACTGTGTGTAGACGCGAGTCAGACGCACCGTCTATGCTGCCTATTAGACATAAAACATAAATTCATAGTAAAATTACACAGAATGCCAATTACGGAAGGGAAATACACCAAAGTACAGCTATTCTGACATTATTACACTCATATGTATGTACCTATATGCGAAATAATGGCAGTAAGACATTTTGACCAGTTTTGCATACTATTTCCATTGATTATTTTTTAATTGATTTTAAATAAAAGTCTAATTCATAATTTAATAAGCAAAATAAATGTACACAAATCGGCATTTCAAACTGTGTACAAAAATTATAAAAACTCAGCAGGTTTTCGCAACAAAATACTTTGAATTCAGAATTTTTAGGGATTCCAAGTTTTCGATGTTATGCATTTTCTCCATATAAAGTGTGTTCGAAAAATTTTGAAATGGACCGTCAGAAAAAAATATCAAAAACCATCGGGATATTGCAGAAACTGGCACTTTCATTTAATAAACTATAAAACTGCGAACTTGAAATCTTTCCAAAAATTCTGAATTAAAAGCTTGTTGTGGCGAACTGCATATTCACAACAGAATTCAGAGGTCTGCAAATAATTCTCACAGCTCTTATTTTAATTTGTAAGTGCTTTTAATTTACAATTTTTGTAATTTTTTAATCTATAATGTGGTATGTAATTTTTTGTTATATATGGCATTTTATGCTAAACTTCTATATTTTATGATTGTGCCAAAAAAGTGATGAATTGTACCAAAGGTGCCTCTGAGAGTGTAAGGGCCAAAAATGGCACTATTGTGCCTACTTTTCCATCACTGGGTTGAAGTGCTTGATTGTATGAAATTGTTCGAATCCATACAAAAATATGTTGCGTGTATACATATGTATATATGTACCTATTTACGAACGAACATTTCCTTACGCTGTAAGATTCGTTTCGTTACTCACATAATAGTCTCGTTACTCGCATGTCCCGTGAATCAATACAACACAACATATTAGCTCTGATCCAGTACTCCATGTACTTACAGGATTTTACTCGAACTTGCAGGAAGTTGCAGGAAAAATGTTCTCTTACTCCAAAATCCTCCAATATCCTGTAAATGAGAGCGAGTTTTGGAGAGTTGTGTAGAGAATGAAGTTGCAAGATTTTACCCGAACTTTTTCTTCTGGTAAAATCATGAAAAGTGTCAAGCAATCACTGGTTGACGTTTTTACAGGAAAAATGTTTTTTGTTCCCGAACTTTTTGTTGTTACTCACTTTTTAGTCTCACTTCAGAGAGTAATTTTGCTGTTTGACAGTTTTACAGGATTTTTCACGAAAAGTATTGGATCAGAGCTATTGTGCGGTAACGGAACAGTTTTTGGTATCGATACTAAAGTGTGTTGCCTGTATATGTACGTACATGTATGCATGATTCCTGTGAGGTACAGGTGCTTGCTTGTATCCAATTGTTCGAATCAATACAAAAATATGTATATATGTATGTACATATGCATATGGAAGAACGAACATTTCCTTACGCTGCAAGATTTGTTGCGATGATTCTTGTGAGGTACAAGGGCTTGTATCAAAAGTAACGAGTAAAGTAACGATACGAAAGATACGGATGTTGATTGGATTAGTAACGAATACATACGGGTATCCGAAATTTCGTTACTTTTACAGCTCTATCGTGTACACGGACGGACGGACAGACGGGCAGATGGACAGGCGGTCAGACGGACGGACAGACAGACATGGCTTAAGCGATTTTCCTATTCATTCTGAGCATTTATGTATACATTTGTCTATATCTATCTCGATTCGTTTTGGCTGTTACAAACAACCGTTATGTGAACAAAATTAATACACCCTTGTGCACAAGTACGCTCGGGTATAAAAATAACAATTATGTTTTGAGCAAAAAATAAAACTCGGCAAACAATCATTAAAAAGTGATTTTTTTAATAATAGTTATAACCGTTGCGGTCCTTGAAAAAACAGGCTTTAATACAAATAAAAAAAATTACAAAATACAATTTTAAGTTAACGTATTTGAGGCGTTTTTTGTGTAATTACAAAAAAATAAGTTGAGAATTACGAGATTTCAGAAAATTTTCACACAAGCTGGTTTCGCTGTAATAGAAATTAATTCACTGTCGTCACCAGACATGAATGAAGATGCACTAGTGTTTTGAAGGCGAAAAAGCTCGCATGAAGAAAAACTTTACGAACAAAAACGCGTAAAAACAACTTCGGCGAAGAAAGACGCGTCAACCTAGTTAACAGCGAAGAGTGACGTGTAAACTTATATTGATACCTGGCCAAGGACTGCCACATCAGCATCATTTCCAAAAAACCTTTGGGGAATTTACAAACCCCTACAACTGCAAAAATAGTTGACCGCAAAAAAAAAGTTTACTCGTCTTTCTTCGTCTATGTTTAGGGTCTTCCCTTGATGAAGTTTTTTTATGCGTTTTTTTCGCGGCCAACTTTTGAGCTCGCGTCTAGCGATGATATATTTTATTTATGTATGTACCTAAATAGATATTAAAATGATGCACAATTATCTTTTTTACAAATTTGCAGGTGACGAAAGTGATTCTACCGTTGCTGTGAAAACCTTAAAAGAAAACGCGACCGAAGTCGAAAAAAAGGACCTATTGAGCGAACTTGAGGTTAGTATTATAACTAGTGTTGGGCAGTATCAATACAAAAAGTACTCAGAACTCGATTCTCAAAAGAATCGACTGCACTCGATTTTTAAAAGTATCGATACTGAGTAGTACTCCAAAGAGCTCAGCATTCAATAAAGAACTCGAAAGTACTCAGTACTCACAAAAGAACTCGAAAGTACTCAGTACTCAAAAATACTCTGTTCTCAGGATTGATTTAATGTACTCAGTATTAAGTGTCGAATAGATACTTAAAAGTACTGTGTTTTATTTACATTTACCGGTATTCAGAAATGATTGTACTCAATTTGAATTTTCAATAGTTTTCAAGTACAATACTAATTAGCTTGTGAGATTTCTACACTAACCATTGAAATGTTACCAACATGTTCATATTTAAAGAAAGTACTCAGTACTCTCAAAAATACTCGATCCTTAAAAGTATCGATATCAAAGTACTCGATACTTCCCAACACTGATTATGACAAATCTCCTTTCTTAAAGCTATACATATCGTCGCTACAATGTCAAACTATCGAATCTGAAAATGGGTACCTTTCAGGAGGTCAAAAAAACGTCGGTAAAAGATGTTGTTGTCATTAAAAAAAAGTGTCGGATTCGAAAGTTTGTTAAAGCTAGTATCTCTGCTTCTAAGAAGACTAAAAATTCGACGATTTGCCAACTTACGTATCATTCTAAACCAATTATGGGCACACTTGTAGTAAAAACGAGGTTTGAAGCAGGGAAATCAAAAACACGTCTTGCCGTTTCAGCTTTACAAAAGGAAAAGAGTTTTATTATAAAGAGTAGATAACTGCAAGCTATATACATATGCAAATATGAATGAGAGAACTAAAGTAATAGTAAGAAATACGCACTGTAGGCAAGATAGAAAAAATAGTTTTACAAAAATCTATTTCAACACCTTCACTTAAAAATATTTTTTGTTGTTGTTTGTAACACGATTAATTCAATACAGTCTTCAATGATTTTCCATTTCAAACGAATTACAATACAATATGCATGTTTATAGATAAATACATTTCAGTGACAAATATATGAAGCTATTCATCTTCAGTTCAAATTTAATTCAGCAAAATAATTGTTTATCTGCCTGCATTGGCTTTGTGAGAAAGTCTGCGACGTTGAATTTAGTATCAATATGGTTAAATTTAACATTCTTAGATTTTACATGTTCACGTAAGAAGTGATGCTTAATATCTATATGTTTTGTTCGCGGCTGATATAAGTTGTTTTCCGTAAGACAGATAGAGCCTCTATTATCACAATATATGGGAATTGTAACGGCTTTACTTCCCAGCAATTCACGTAACAGGTTACGAAGCCAAGTTGCTTCTTGTGTTGCGGATCCCATTGCCATGTATTCTGATTCAGTCGTTGAAATGGCAACAGTAGGCTACTTCTTTGAATTCCACGATACAGGTCCTCCTTGTATGGTGAACATATAACCAGTCGTAGAACGTCTGTCATTTTCATCACCGGCCCAGTCAGCGTCACAGAAACCTCTCAAATTAGATTCAGCAATTTTATTAAACGTCAACTTATAATGCAATGTACCTTTCAGATAACGCATGATTCTTTTCACCGCAACCAAGTGACAATAGCCGAAATTGTTGTTATAGCGGCTGACTGCTCCAACCGCAAACTGTATATCAGGGCGTGATATTTGTGCGGCGAATAAAAGGCTTCCAACGGCCTCTTGATACGGTATGCCTGCGACCTTTTCAAACGCCGACTCGTCAGAAGGACACATCTCTTTGGTTAGGCGCTGATTGGCATCGGCTGGGGAGCTAACCGGATTACAATCTTGCATGTTGAATTTGGCCAAAATGTCTTGGATATATTGTGATTGATCGATTGAGATAACGCCTTCATTCCAATCTCTTGTGATATTCATGCCAAGTAACTGTTTCGCCACCCCTAGATCTTTCATACGAAACTTTTGATGCAAAAACATCTTCAGTTTGTTTTTAAAAGTACAATTATTCGATAAAAATATCAAGTCGTCAACGTAAATGGCAACGATTAATAGGCTATTTTTATCTACTTTCTTGTACACACAAACATCTGTCACACATGGTGAGAAACCAAACTCCTTAAGGGTACGATCAAGCTGATGGTTCCATACACGGCTTGCTTGCTTCAGCCCGTAAAGTGATTTATGTAGAAGGCTCACTTTCTCTGATCCATCAGAAAACAATTCAGGCTGCGGCATATATATTTCCTCTTCTAACTCCCCATGTAAAAACGCAGTGGCCGCATCCATTTGATCAACATGTAAGTCGTATTTAGCGGCTAAAGCAAACAACACCCGAATTGATGTGTAACGAACCACTGGAGAGAACGTTTCATCATAATCTACACCTTTACGTTGACCACATCCCCTTATCACAAGTCTAGCCTTGAAGCGGTTAATGGCACCATCCGAACCATACTTTGTTTTAAAAATCTACCGACCGAAATTGCCTTTCTCCCTGGTGGCAAGTTAGTTAGTGTCCAGGTTCGATTCTCCTTCAGTGATCGCATTTCCCCATGCATAGCGTTGACCCAATGAGTAGAGTTCGGACACGACAATGCTTTCTTCACTGAACTGGGATCGCCTAACTGTGCGATAATCGCCAAGTGATTGCGACGATTAGCTGACCTCAACGTACGTCCTTCAACATTGACAGTTTCATCTACGCGTTGCGTTGGAATGTAGGTTTCATCGTTGGGATCATAGTTTAACACTAAGGTCTCATCATCGTCCTCCCCATCATCATTATACACATTCGATACGTCGGCGCTAGCAAAATCTTCAGCCTTCTCCGATTCACCATCAGAAAACGATTCCTCGTGGCTCTCATTGATTGCTTCAGTGTTGACATCCTTCACTTCATTGGTATTTTCATGCAAGTGAAAATACAAATGATTAGAATCGCTTGAAGTGGATAAATTTTGTTTTTCTTCCCGCGAGGTATAAAAAGCTTTGTTGTTTGACAGGTTAAGTCTGTCTGTATTATGTAAGTCTGCTTTACCGACAATGGATCCCATTTTGTCACGTATTATGCACGAATTCTCATTGAAAACAACTGTTTTGCCATTTTTCACCAACTGACTAACAGATAATAGATTTGCACAAAGGCTTGGCACACACAATACGCTATTAATAGGTGCGTTCGTTTAAAATCTCCAGTAAAAACCAACCAACTGCCAAATTCCGGCGAAATGTCATCTGTTCTCTCACAAGAGAAAAATATCCCAAATAGTACGCGAACAGAAAATTTGCAGAAACTTGCAAGTTAGACGAACAGCTGATATAATTTTTGTTTACATTCAAAAGTGTAAAATTTAAAACGTACGAAAAGTCATCACAAAGTGTTATACTGGCACAGTTTATTGATTAAACAAATAACTACTTATTTCTTACAAGTTTAATTAGTCGCATTTTGTAATTTTTAACTTCCAAACCATCAAATTCAATTTTTAGATTTGCGTAAATGCCAACCAGCTGTTTTTGATCAGCTGTTTTCCTGTTGGCAAATTGCTGTTGGCAAAATTTTTTCCAGCAGAAACCAGCAGCTTTCCCTCAAAATGAAATGTCACTTTGCTCTCTCAATTTCCCCTACTTTGTAAGTTTTTTGCGTACGCGAACGCAAAAACTTGTAAGTTTTGGTTAAACATGAACAATTAACAGCTACGCGAACGCAACTAATATTAGCTATTGCTTCATTTCCATCAATATCCAAATTCATTTTAACCGTTCCAGAGCACTCAACATCAATATTGCTGCTATTTGCGACAGTTACACTCTCTCGCGGTGAGATTTTCTGCTTATGTATTAGATTACGATCATGGGTCATATGAGCTGACGCGCCGGAGTCTATGTACCAGTCATTTGGNGTTTGTTTTTGTAATTCCAGCCGCTAGACATGTGTATTATTATTATTATTATTATTATGGGCCATATGCACCGCGACCTCTAAAGTTGTCTATTGTGCGTCGCCCCCGGCCTATATGGGAAGGCTCTTAATGTAGCCTAGCACCTCCAAGGGCGTTTTGTTCCAAATTTCAAATGGATTAAGGGTAGCGCCACCAAAGTGGGCTAGTCTGCGCCCAGCAAGAGCATCACAACTGTGTGTAACTAAATTCACGATTTTGCTCACCTTTTCTTTGATTTTTTCTTATTGCACAGTCGCGTGCAAAATGACCTTCCTTTTGACATTCAAAACACTTAACGGGCGGCTTTTGCTTTTGAATTGATTTAACATATTTAGAGTACATTGCCATTTCACCATCACTGGATGCTTACGTGTCCTGAAGCAACTTAGTTTTAATGAAATCCGATGAAATTACTGCACCAGCACTTTCAATTGCCGTGATGATTATTGGCTTGTATTCTTCTGACAAACCCGCCAATAACAATGTGCCAACCCATTCGTCACTAAGATCAAATTTAGCGTTTCTCAACTTGTGAGCAGTGGTTACTATTTTATCTATGTACTGCTCCATGTTATTACAGTCGACTAGCCTCGTGCTAATCAGCGTCCGTAGCAAACGAACGCGTCTTGATAGCCCGGAATCGTCGAAAGCCTTTTCCAAACTATCCCAGACATCTTTGGCAGTCTTAGCACCTTGTACGTGCGATATATTCACTGGATCTACCAGCAGAATTAGCCTGGAACGCGTTATCGAGTCTCGACGTAGTTTTTTCAATTTGTCGTATAGTAGTAGTATAGTAGTTCAGATTCTAAATACGCGCGCTCAACAAATTTCCATGTTGCGTAGTTGTCCCTTCCTCTTAACTTTTCGATATTATTTGCAAAATTATTGGCCGCCATCTTCCTTACCCTGTTAAACGCGAGTCACCCGAAAGAAATCAGTAAGAATTTCCGTAATCAGTACTAATTCTGCCAAACGCGACGCAGAAACACACAAAATATTTCGTTTTGTGACAAACACTTGATATATTTTATAAAATCCCTGTGCTATAGGCCCATAAC